GAGAGAGGAAGAAAATAAGGAAAAGCAAAATTCATTCTCCAAATGTAATTAAAATCTTCCAGAAATTTCTGCTAATCACTAATTGTCACTTAAGTGAACTAGTATCCTTGTTAATTCTGCTCAAAAAATCAAAGCAAATTATGGTTTAATCGCCAATTTCTTGCCAACCAAAATGGACAACTTCCAAAAATTTATAGAAAACACATCAGAAACATTATCAAGTTACTGAAAACTACATGGTGGAACATAGGTGCTCCACGAAAACATGGACTCAAGGTAATTACCAGCAGCATCATGAGAGATTCCTCACCACTATATTTGGAATGCAAGAAGCATAACTAAAGATGAGTCTCCAGATTTTCTCTGCTCCATGATCTGCATTTAGTGTGATAAACATATTACAAACATCCAACTGACATAACACATATTTAGTCAACTTAATAATCTTACACCATTAGATGTCCCAACAAAGAACTATAGTTACAAACCTACACTTGAAAAGATTATGCATCCTTTTTGTAAGAAAATTAAAAGTACAGGATAATTGCACATGCACCAGAAACCCTCAGGACATCACCATTAAACTAAATGCGTTCTACTGGCTAAATCCTCAAGTCAAATTCATAAAATGTTTAAAAACACTATCATCTGCAGAAACTTTTAAGAAAAGATATATTTTTTCCAAATAGATATTTTTATTCAGAATAATCCGTGGCCAGTTGCCACAAGTAATTCCACCAGACAGAAATAGGAATCTCCACATCATAAAAACAATTATATAATCAATTAGCATCAAACCTTTTAATTGAAGATTGTCTTCATTATCATCAGCTGCAATGTAATCACAAAGTTTCCTAATCATTTCTTCGTTATTGACTGATATCCAGAGCAGCATCTCATAATAACCTAATCTTGGAATAGAATTACAATTCCCATCTTTGATAGGTCCACAGAAAAAGTGGAACTCTTCTACCATTCCCCTGTCAATGAAAAACATAAGCAGTTGACCATAAATTACTTCATCTATCTGAAATCCGCGCTTCCTCATTTCTTTAAAATGTCTGCAAACTTCGGACATTTCCACCAATGAAATTTTAGTTTGACAATAAACTTGAGGTTGAAAACCTAAGTTTTCTTGGTTCCGTCTTTAATTTTACGGTGTTCTTAGTTTCTGTTTGTTCTACTCCTACCTTCCCTGCATCACCTCATGTTGCTCAAAGATGATTCAATATTGACTAATTTTGCAATGCACTAATCTCTACTTTAAAAATAAATAAATAAACAAAACTTAGAACCCATCAAACTCCGAGAAAATAAAGTCAAGATGAAAAATTGTAGGAAACCAAGGTTTTGCTCCGAAGAGAAAAGGAAAAGTTTGGAGAGGGGGTACCCGGTTGCCGCCGACGGTGGCGAAAACGCTGAAGTAGCGAGAGTCAATGAAGTTGAAAACGACGGCGTACAAGGGGCGCTTCCCTTCTTGGAGACGGTTGGCGAATCTGTATTCTCTCTTCTTGGACGGAGTCAGCGAACCCACCACCGGCTCCAGCCTTATCGGCGTCTTCGCCATTGCCTGACCGGACAAGCCGACGATCAACAACGCACGACTACACGAGGGCTTAGCAGTAACTACAATTGTTGTCTGTTTTTCATGCTTATTCTGTTTTGTTTTAAGGGGAGAGTCTCCTGTTGGGGTTTTAGGGGATTTTAAAATTCAACACTTCCTAACAATTTTTGTGAGAAATAATAATAAAAATGGAGTTTGTGTTTT